GAAACTGATGCGGTGGAACTTGGCAGACGAGTTACCATCATCAGCCGAAGAAACGTCGATAGGAAAGATTATGCATAGTCCTGCAGTCTGTCTGTCTGGACGGTTCCTCGTGATTTAGGGGTTCCTCCTGACGAGGATTCCTTACATCGCCTTCTGATTCGGTACTGTTGTGTAAAAATGTCTTTTTGATAGTCAAGGCTCAAGTCCCCATTCGGTAAAGTGCTCTCTCTCGCGCCGGACGATTTCCAGCCACAAGTGTGAGAGACTTGGCTCGTCAAATGCTGATATACACAGAGAGAGGAAGAAGGGGAGGACAAGGAGAAACGGAGAAGGGATCAGGGGACGGGGTTGTTGTTGTTGCTTCTCGGTCTCCTGCACGAAGAGGTTATACGGTACATACTATAGAATCGAGATGCTCTCACAATTTAGCATGCTTCACATAATTCCTGAGCACAACGTCGGACCAAACAACCCATAGACTCTCTCGACAGCAATGCAATGCAAGCCCATCAATTGAAAAGCCAGCTCCTCTTGGTGCGGGCAATGGTTGCATCCAAGTCCGCTCCCCGGGCAATGCAACAGTGGGGTGTTGCATTGCCTGGGGCCGGACTTACTCAAGAGTTCTCGTCGATTTTGACATTCTCCATATCCTTGGACCATGGTGTCAGGAAGAACACACCACCACCGGGTGTTATGACGCCGGTCACAAAGAGTCGGAGAAGGCGAAATTAAAAACCAAAACCGAAAAAACGGAAAGAAAGCATCTGAAACTCCAACCAGCAGCAGCTCGAAGCCTGTCAACGACCTCTGTCGTCCGTCCACAGCGGCGTGCAAGCAGAAACCCTTGAGACGTGACAGATATCTTGTGCGAAGGTCTCTATCATGTCTCCGTTACACTTACTTACTCTACCCTTCACCTGAGCTCTGGGCCTCTCTCGCCTGGCGTTTCCGCTGCGCCCCTTGATTCTTTATATCCCATCTTCGGCATGTTCCAACCATTCAAAGATCGAAGCCAAGCCAAGTCGGTGTGGGACTCGTCCTCGGGGACAATCTCGTCCCACAAAACGAAACAGGTCTGACCGAGTTGTTCCCCCATGTACTCTCCTTTCGAAGCTGCTGTGATCTTGATCAACGGAGAGGACCTTGAAGATCGGAGAGACATAATGGGTCGGTGCGTCGACGCTAGCGAGGTTGTTTGTCAGTTCTTCGATTTTCTCTTCGGCATCGAACTCGACCTCGACCTCGTCGGCCTTATACACTGCTGGCCGTGCTGATGACAGGCCTCTGCGCCATCGTAGCCTGGTCTGGATGAGTGTCACAAGATGGCCAAAGCAGGATCCTGCAGGCCGCCGAACATGGGCCAGGGCTGTCGCAGACACCAAGCACTTGGAGGCTCGCTATCGAGGAAGAGGCCCGCACGACCGTCAAAGACTTGATGATCCCTTCGTCCTTGACAGAGTGTCAATGTACGGTGTATCGCGTGCACTTCAGGGATATGATACGGTGTCTTTGGGTATTGTGGAGAATATTTCGAGAGACAGACACAGAGACTGTTGCTGCAGTTCCATGCGGCCATGCATTCTCATCGATGGTTCCGCCAAACACCTCTATCATCCGTGGCATCGAGGAGCAGAACTGCTTTACAGCGAGACTCAACGTCAATATGATCTGGAAATTCCAGAGCGTGGAAATCATTCTCTGAGTGGACATGAAGCTCTGGGGGAAATACAGTCCCTCAGAAGCGCACGGTGATGGCCCTCGATCAGGCATATGGCCCTTTGAAGAGGTTCACCAGAGGTGCGGACCAAGAGCGCCTCTCTCTACAAACACCCTCGAACCTGCTCGGATTGCCGTGGATGTCAGCCCAGTACGAGCGTCTTCGTGAGGGGTAACTTTGCGCAGTCGGACAGAGTTTCACTCTTCCAGGATGTCCACCGTGGCTTCCAATGGATTGATCTCGGCCAGGTACAGGGGGCATTGACGTCTACATTTGTTTCCTGCCAGCGATCTGGTCGAGATGGACACCCTTCATGGACCGTGACTCGAACTATCATACGACAACGTGTGGAATCAGTTGTCACAAGAGATGTGCTTTGGAGATCCTGGCTCTCTCTGCCTCTCTCTCTGTTCCAAGCCCTCCTCATTAGGGAAGAAATTGAAGTTAGGCAACATATGGACGTCGACCTGATGGTTGGTTCTGATCGATTTTAGTTACGATAGAAGTACAGAGGGCCAGTGAGGATTTGGCATTTCCCATCTGTTCATCCATGCATTATAGTGTAATAGAACCGCTTTCTCTATGTGCACCGTGTTGACTGTCTATTCATTTCCGGGAAGATTTGTGCTGGAGGAGGCAATGGACACTTTTCATGCATCAACAAACACAGTTTCCCCAGCGACTAAGGCATCTCGAGTCAAAAGTCATTTGCAGAATCAGATCACAATCCCAAGTCAGTGATAGGGGAGGGACGAGACCGTTGGCCCAAACACGTTGAAAGCGAAACATGGCTACCACTTTCTGACAAGATTTGAGCGATATTGCCTTCGTGACTTGAGCATGTAAATGGTTCGAACGCCTTGGCTCGAAGCTAGTAGAAACCCGAGGTTGGAGTTCTCACTTTCCTCTTCCAGACAGTGTTGATCATAGGCTTGAAAGATCAAGAAGACAGGCGATTAGGGAATTTGACCCGGCCAAGGACGCTCTCCCACCGCCACCAATGCGTGGCAAACCTGTATGAGAGAGTCGTGGCCCGAGACTGTCTACTCCCGAGCGCAGCTCCACTGTTGGCACGCCAAATTGACAGCTGATCTTTGCACTGCTGGCGATCCTGGAGGCCATACAGGGCGAGTGCTGGTGTCGAATCCTTGCAAAAGGATGCGATATTATCGTAATAAGCATGTCTTGTATGATGAAGAGTTGAATCTTTGTCGTGTACAGCCTCCAGAGACAGAACTCCAATGCCAGCGTGATCTTTATAGAAAGAGGCGGGAAGGCAACTCTCCTTCGATGATGTGGGTAGAGAGGTGCTTGGAGCCTCTCAACCAGCTCGCTGCGATCTGCTGCTTCTTATCTCATTCGCCATCTCCGGCTGGTTTCTGGTGGTGCAAAGGTTTTGCTCTCGGTGTCGGAGTATGTCTCGCCTTCTTCGGGAATTAGGAGGACATCGGCGACAGTGCTTTGAATCTTCTGGACGACGGCAAGCTTGTGTGTTCAAAAGAACACGAAATACCATACACGCAGGCCCGGTTCTCACAGAGAGATATCATGGATGCCAGCGATGCCAACAATAAGGAACTGAGAGCACTCGGTAGTGACGCGGTTTCATTGACACGAGATTACACACATCCTTCCTGAGGAGGCAAGCTCTTTGGAGCGATGTCGTCCCTGCAGACTAGTCACTTCTTTCGGATTTTTGCGTGAGTCCGAGATCGTAACCTTGGCTTGTGACATTTCGGCGCCAATGGTTTCTTCACCGGGAATAGAGAGATAGAGAGAGAGATAGACACCCTCCATATTCTGAACTGCGTGTCCCAGGATAATCTCAGACCTCAGCAAGCGACCATGTATCTATGCCGTATGTCCTCGGCGTTGCACGCACAATGATTTGATTGATTGTCTTCAGTGTCCAAAATCGGCAAGATCCCCTGTGCTGTTCGCTCGAGAGGCGTGACGAGAGGAGACAAGCGTAGCTGAGATCTCCAAAACCCGCTGTGCTCAACTCACCGCCGAAAGGGAAAAATACAGGAAACGAGGGAAGAACGATAGTTAAGCTCAGCGATCGTGGTGCGATTAAACAGCTGGGATAGATAAATGGATTGATGTAGAATTGGATTGACTGAAACATGGCGAGTTGCGTTTGCCATGCAAAGTGCCATAACTCAACCAAAGGACACAGATCTCTGCCGTGCACTGTAGCCTCTGTCGGCTGCTGCCTGTTGTCTCGTGGTGTTTTGTTTTTGCTGTAGGTATAGCCCGTTTGGGAGCCATCGCGGGCTTACATCCGTCACCAGTTTCGTCTCGTCGAACCCCCTGAAAGAGGTAGATAGCGGGATCGAGTGAATTTAGTGACGAGAATACTGACACCAACGAGACGGTTGGCGAGGCTCGAAGGAGCGTTTGGTCTCGGTTGCTGGGATGGAGCTCCATACACTCTGGATCCCTCTAAGATGCAATTCGTTGTCAAGAGTCAGACTCGTCTGGGATGCGTATCTGCGCAGGATCGTAGTCAACCCTCGCCCGGAAGCGACCAAGACCATACCAAGCCTCCCAGGAATGCACCTCCCCAGCCGCTTAGCGTTAGCTGAGACTGACCAGACTGAACTCAGCAAATCTCAATCTGTTCGTTGCAGGGCTTTCCCGCCAGGCTACACACAATCAATGGAAGATCCGCGTCCGCGGCCTGTGCTCGAAAGGTCGAGACCCAGATGTCACAGCACACCTTTCAATCTATGGCAGCAAGGGTGCTCTGTTGGTATTTGATTGGTACGTCCGACTGGCCCTGGACGGCATGAGATGAGTTTGAACTCGGACCTCATCTTGGCTTCGAGGATTCGGCGCAACCACCCTGGCCATGCTTTCACCGATGCCAGAGGCTACGCGCCCTGTCGAAGGCTTGTCCCCGTATCCCAAGAAGAAAAGTCCAGTCCGCACCTTGATTGGCCAGTGTCACCAGTATTCCGACGTGGAGCCTCATCCTCACTTCGAGCTGGAGTCGTGAGGTGATTATCGACCGGAGAGAATCCATGTCGATCATCGCACGCAGCACCTGGTCATGGATGCACGTCACATTGGCAACACAGTTGCTTGTTTGTCAAGGCTTCCCTGACGAAGCAGTCTATCCAGGCTGCAGATGATAGCGCTGTTATCGCTGATGTGCAATGGCCCAAGCAGCGATAAATGCTGACGCTGTGCTTTGGCGTTATCCATTATTCGCATCCAGCCGGAGAAGCAGGAGCGAGGAGAGAGTGGGAGCGGAATAGAATTGAAAGAAACAACACGAATGAAGGGCTGGATTCAAGTCTGTGCCGAGAAGTACAGTGATAGAGAGCATCCCCTTCGGACACGGGTAGCGGCTATAGGGCTGATGCGTGGGCAGCGCCATGGACGACACTGACTTCGAAGATCACAGCTGCATCTCCTGTTGGGCCTCTGCCCACCCATCTGGGACTCGGACGAAACAACTACGTGAGAAGGATTATCCACCCGATACTGGTAACACCTCTCGCCGGAGTCGTGTTGAACATCCAAGATGACCGACTCCATGGTCTTCACGAAGCTGATACCGGCGCCTCGATATTGGCCTTGAGGCCCTGGATCACTTCGTCGAGACTGCTTCTTCTTGTAGTTGTTGGCGCCTCCGAGAATACGATAGCATTGTCTGCGCCACCGGGCTACTACAAGCGCCATGAGAGAATCGATCGGAGAAGAAGGAAACTAATCGGTCAGAGAGAAGAGACTTACTCCGGGAACATTCGCAGCTAGTTGCCTCAGGTGTCACGCGTCGCGTCTACACGTGACTGACGCGCCAACACGTGACTAGCTAAGATGGGGAAGGTCTGCCGAGGGCTACTTCTACCTCGCCATCCCACTTCCTTCCTCTCCAGAAGACTCCGTCAGAGACAGCCCACAACAACACATTTAGCTAGATAGCTAGAGAATCGTGCTATTGCAGCCATTCATCTCCACCGGTGCGGTGGATTCCTTGCTTCCTTCTTCTTCCATGTGATATCAGGCAATAGCCTGACCACAACAGACAGGGGTGCGGTGACAGGAGATAAACTGGACCAAAGTGAAGAAATCTTAGTCGACGAAAGCCGTGGGATCGGAAAGTCGCTCAATCTGTGGTTGTGCGACGTACGGCCCATGTTCCTGAAGACCATTGGTGTCGAACCTTTCGACCCCTGTGCAATCCTGCGTCTCGGGACGTGTGCGCCTATGAAGACCCCCTGAAACATGCCAGGCTCGCCGCAACCGTACAAGAAGCTAGCTTGGGAACAAGTTGGAATTTACACGTGCCCTTCTGTTCCAAGCTTGACATGGAGGGAATCGTTCAGTGCTGGCTACTGTAAACAACTGCTTGTGTCTGATGGTCTGGCTGCTCGCAAGGCAGCATGGCGAAACTAGAGCAGCGATGCGGATGCGGTGGCTTTCGGAACCTCAACCATCTATTTCCTTCTCCGCGGGTCTCAATATTCGGCCGGCTACTTAAGTTGACGGGAAACTGCGAATGATGGTCGGATAGCCGATGCCGAATGTCAGGGAATAAATGGTAGTCACGGCAAACACAGCCTTCCGCTTTCAGCAGCAGAGGCGGCAGGTTCTACCAATTGGCCCAATGCAAACGGCCGACATGGCTACCACGTCAGGTGAACAAGGCTTCGGTGTTCGTAGAACACAGCTTCCAGGGTGTCGTCCCGCACCTTGTTAGGACTCCGAGGTACGATTGATATTCCGCGTCATGGCGTAAAGTGCAATCCTTTTCTTGAGCCACGAGCCGCCCCGTTGATCGCACGGTGTCAGAGCAATGGCAGAGTCTGACTGTGGGACTCGCCGCCGTCGCCATAACGGCACTGTTTGCAACATCGGACAGGCGTCCATCGTGACCTCTGCCGCAGCCGCCGTGAGATCGTCAAGAAGCGAAAGATTTACCTTCATAGAACGTCCTCGAGTCCAACTATCTCGATCCGTCATCCAATTGTACTTCTTAACCTGGAAAGAGGCCGTGGAGATCTTTCAGAGACCAACAGAGCGACTGTGTTTCCCAGGTCATTGGTCCTCGATCCTGGAAGATCTGATACCGTGTGATGGTCTTTGGTTGCGGGAGGTATAACGATTCATTGACTCATCATGAGCAAACATGGTTTCGAGAGATGAAAGGGGGCCGCTCCCGATGATGGGGCTGGCCCTGGCGCTGCATTTGGCTTCCGCCACCTTGCCTCCTTTTGATTGATTTAGATTTCTCTTTCGTCATTCCGGATAACGTGGTTACTGGGGCCAAGGGTCATGGTTTTGCCCCTCTTGCCGACGGCGCCATAGTCAAGGAGATCAACGCCGACAGCATTCTGGACCATGTCGAAAGGATTGATAATCTTCCTGTGATGAAGACCAAGCATGCTGCTCCTGTATCAGCCCATACGAAGTTCCGCCGACGATCCAATCATATATATCAGATGAGGCCAGGCCCCTCCTCCACAGGAGGAGGGCCTCGACGAACTCAAGATCGCGCCCGAAGCGCTAAGCATGTTCTGCAACGACCAGACCTTCTCTGCCGTGCCTGGTCATAGAGTTGGTATGCAGAACACGAGAGGGAGTGGACAGAGCGTCGGCTCTCCTGCCATCCGATCTCCAAGAGAGAACCATAGTTCTCACCCTTGTATTTCCTGACACTCGCTCCCGATTCATCATTGGCAGCGTCTTAATCTGGAGACTGGTCACTGTAGCAGAGGCACCTCGTGCTGCTCCGCCCAAATCTGACCCTAGTGACGGCCTCGTAGAGTTGGCGAAATGTTACACATGAGGCCGTCCTTCCGTGGGAGAAGGAAAACTGGGTCATTCCATTGGAAGAAATGTACAAGCTGCACTAGATTGGTGTCTTCTTCCAACATTGACCACTGTTCACTGAATCCGGCACCAGTGCGGTGATGTAGAGGATTATCTTAAAATTGACGACGGTTTTTGAGGTGGACGGCCAGCCGACGAAATTGAGTTGATGTTTCCAAGTATTCGTTCATATCGGCCCCATAGTTGAGGGTATCATAAGGCAAATTCAACATGTTCGAAGGATCCATCGTCAGTCTGAGGTGTCCTCGCGCGCGCGCCGTTCAACATGCCTGGTGGTGCTAGCAGGCCACCGAACTGGATCGCGATCTTGTGAACAGCCACCACAGAATCGTTGGATATTAAAGAGTTGGAATTGAGAGGTGATCATCATTGACTCCGAAGGTCCCGTCACGAAGAAGAAGTTGATGCATCAATATCGGTCCGACTGACCATCTCGGTGCCAATCAACTTAGCGGGCAGTGTGAGGGATGCTCACCTAATTTCAGAATTGGCCATACTTTGTTCCAGCCGCTAGCTTGGAAGCAGATATTCTGAACAGCATTGCAAGAGGTTGGCAGTCAACCCGGGTGTGAATTTGCCATTTCGGACTCCTCTGCGTCGTTATGGTGGATGCGGATGATCTTCTCTTTGCAGATCGCAAAGATCAACCACGAGCGTAGGGAGTGAATACGCACTCAAGGTAAGCCACGTACAGTGATCGACAAAAGGCAGTAAAAGCCAATCGCCATTGACGAGAACATCGACCTGGCCATAGAAGATGAGCCACTGGTTGAATTCCCTCACATATCTTGCTTCTAGTCCCTTCCTGTTGGGTACATAGTCTTGCTTCCTGTCGACCGACTTGCGCCTCGAATCTACGCAATACATTTCCCAGCATGTACAGAAAGTCGATAGCAGGGAATGGTTAGGAAGGTAGATCCAGGCCGCCGGTGTGAATGGTCATTATGATTTCGGAACGCCGCCTTTTTTCTCGATGCAATTCTTAATCCAGACTGGCCATGCGCGTCGATAGTATAGATCGACATGGATTCGAACACTGGTAAAAAAATACCCTTGGCTTGGAATGCGACTGTTAGGACATGGTGGAGTCCTCTGAGAAGTCGACCAAAGCAGCAATTGACGATAAGCGAGTGTGGCAACTCGCGATGTGTTGCTTCTGAGAGCATCCCGGTCGTGAAGACAGGTAACTTTGACCTCGTGGATTTCTTGGTTGAAACGACCTTGCGCAACGAGCAGGGTGTCCGTCCAGACTACATACAAACCAGATCGATACCGTACACTCCCGGGACGCATATTGTGGATACATTGAGATTGTACAGATCGGTATTTTTGAACATACCACAGGAACTCTTCCAGATGCAACGTTACATCAAGTTGGAGAGGACCATGATATCTTTGCGCGCATTTGGGAATGTTTCGAATGTCTTCATACGCAGACGCCCCCGTCATCCTTCTCGCTCGCTGCGCAAGGTCCATGCGGCAAGCATCGAGATCATCAAAGAAGAACACGTCACAAAGCACTGGACAAGAGGAAAAGGTTGTGCCACGGCTCCGTCGGATACCGTCTCAAGTCATCAAGCAAGCAGCAGCCAAGGCGGAGTGGGAGGCGATGGTCGCGGCTCAGAGGAACGGCATCCGATAAGACGTTGCTGGACAGAACGTTGCTTGCCCGTTCCGGACGGCGACCTTGTTGGGGTAATGGAAGTCCTAGGTGTTGCTTTCGACGAGGAGCACATCCAGCACGAGCTGGACGATGCGGCGTGACCGGCGACCCAGGATGCAAGCACGTAAATGGAGAGGATTTGGAGGCGAGCATCATTTCGTGGTCCATGTCTGAGACAGGACCTGCGCGGTAAGACACCACGAGACAGTCATTTAGGACAAGCACGAGTCGATATTTGTATAATGCGGTGATGAAAATGACGATGGGGATGGGGCAGGCCTTCTCAAAAAGACGGACTCGTTCGATGAACTCGGACGAGGACAGGCCCTGGGACTGGTTGATAGATGGGTGGATGAACGGTGTGGATTTGAGAGCCAGCAGCTTTGGCAATGTCCTTTGGCGCATTGCTGAGCTTTCGGCTTCAAGCTATTGAGTGAATATGGCAGAGACGTTCCGCATGTCGCTGTTGCTTTTCAGAGATAAATCCAGAGAAAGAGAAAGCCTCTTGCATCCTCTGAGTTGCCAACAGACAGCGCACCAGCTGCTCCGTGCGGCTGCTGTCGTGAAGTCGGACCTCGTCCATGTTGCTTGCAATGGAGCATCCGATATCTTCAATGGTCAGCGGTTCGACCTGCCCATGCCAGGGCCGTGAAGAGAACGACTCACCAAGTAGTGTAATCATCCAGGTTGCTGGCCATACGGCTGTCTTGGTCGATGGATTGACTAACTCCCAGCACAGGCCAACGAAGTCTCACAACCAGGTATTGTCGGCCTGCACATTGCCCAGGGGTTGAATGATGTGCCGACTCTCGAGTTGGCTGGAGTAGGAGTGAGCAAAGTCTGACTGACAACGATACATTGTGTGTCGGATTGGATTAGCATATCCTCTCTCATGCATCGATCTGGGTCTTCACAGGCACCAGTAGAGTGGAAATATCGATGATGGGATTGATGAAATTGTAGCATGGAGGACTGTGTGCAAGTTCAAGCAACGAGAGGGGGAGCCCATGAAACGAGGTTGTGCTCATGTCCTGAATTCCTCGCGACACAACTCAACAGTCTGTCTTTTTTCGCTCACGCCCACTAGGGTATTAGACCCCCTGCCAGCTGTCACCATGCGGGCAGTCAGCCGGGTAGCAAATTTTGAGACACTCCACGGACAGTCTCTACACCCTGCTGGATTGGCCAGAGCATACCCTCCTACCCTGTATTTGAAGGGGACAACCACTGAAATCCCCCACCCCCCTCCCATCGATGTGAGCCACCGTCTGTTGTCAGAGCTTCTGTCAGACTCAAGTCGAAGGACCAGGGCCCGTTCTTTCTTTGCATTGGGGGAAGCTTTAGCGAAACGGAGTGTGAAGTCTGGATGCCACAGCTCTCATGGGCCTCGTGTTTTTGCTGCTGCTGTTTTGGCCTGTGGCAGTGTGGAAGTGTGGGTTGATATGAAGGGTGAGTCGGGGACCACGTGAAGGCCCGTCGACATGATTCTGCAGCCGGAAGCCATGGCTCGGAGAAAGACGAACCATTCGTATCACCTCCCCGAAGGGTACACACCGAGGTTGATGGTACTACCCTCTCCGATCCTCACTGTCTGGCAAAGGCACTCAGTGGCATGGGGGGCCGATGAACCCATGCCAACTTAGTTTACACAGCAACCCTCGCCATTTGTGTGTACACAACCTGGGTCATTCGTTCTCGTCCTCCCCGATCCCATGCTCGATGACTTGAAACGAGCGAGAGTGAGCGCGTTGATGGGGCGATCTGAGATTGATCGGTTTGTATGATCTTGCCTCTGCCCTCTTTGCACCGGCTCACGACACAGCACGACGTGCCCAACAGGAACCAGCCAGACAATGCATCCAGAAATTGAGACAAATTTGATCACTTCGTGACTCGATCCTTCTGTCTGTTCAAGACTGGCGTGGTAGTACAAGACGTCGTCGGATCGCTCGCCCTTGGATGCAACTGTCTTTTGCATGGAGTTTATCCTTGTTCATGGACGTGACACAAACTGGCCCTGACTTGGGAAGATGATATGATAATAGATAATCTTCGCCTCTGGCACGGGTCCCCCTTAGTGTGCCTTTTCATCTCCTTTCTATTACCTTTTCCAAGTCCAATTCCAGCGGGACCTGGCACAGCTCTTGCAATCTTGCTTCGCTTTTGTCTTGCGTCCATTTAGCTCTTCATTCGTGCAGGATCAACGTTCACTCCAACGGCTGCGGAACGGGCATGCTTAGCGGAGATCATGTTTGGAGAGTCGTGTCCTTAAACCCCGATGAAAGGTCACCGTTGTCAAACAGGGTGCAGCTCATGACCGGTCTTTCCTTCCGACTCAGAGGAAGGAACGAAACCATTTCACCCCATCTCTGAAGATGGAATGGTCTGGAGGGTCTCAGAGAGGTCCTTCCAAAGACACAGAGCAGGTCGAGACAAGAAACTCCGATGAGGACCATCACACCGAGCGTGACGACGGTGGCGTTTGTCGAAGAGTGAGCCATCAGACCACTGCGGCCCAACATATATCAGACCTGGCTTTCTTCTTCATGTGATGGGATCAATCCGATTGCATTGACGGGGCTCGAGGCCAGAGATGACCAGATCTGCTGCGACATCCTAGGTCATCTCGCTTAAGGCGACACAGGGAGGCAGAGCCAGTCAGGGCCATTCCATAAAGCCACAAGCACTGTCTCTTTCTCTTCAAGGTCCAATGGGGAGCACAACAATATGGTAGTATCTGCTCCCGAAGCCTGACTGCTTCATTGAAGGATGGCAGTTAGAGAGAGAATGTGTGGGAGCGAGAAATATCGGGTTTTGGTCAAGGGTCGGCCCTTGGCAACATTCGGGGTAAAGATACGCGCGGCGTCGGTAGAACCGCGGCAGGAAGGCACTCTCAGCCCGGGACTGTACATATTGTCACCAAAATGTGTGCTGTGAGTGGCCCCAACGCCAGGCTCGTTCACGGGTCAAAAAGACCAAGACGCCCAAGGAAAGAGACAGAACAATGCGATAACATGCAGCATGCCGACCTGTTAGTTGGCAGGCTGGCTGGGTACCTATCTCAATAGTTCTTCAGAAAAAGGTCGTCGCCCAAGGGTAACTTCGTGCAAAGACAGCGACATGGCAATGGATCCTCTGTTGAGATATGGTCACTGATTTAAAACGACGAGAGATGAAATGAAATGAGAAGCCAGTATGTATTGTTTTCCGTGTTGACTATTGCTTTCCACAACGTGTTGTTTCCTGTGTCGTATCGTTTCTGCTCTTGTTATTTCCCGTCTTGACTCCCTTCGAGTCGCCGCCCTCCTGTAGGTGAAGAATAATGATATGAGCAGGTCTCTGCCATCAACAGCTTGTGCACGAGGGTATGACAATCCTCTCCCGTCCACCATAAGAATGCATCCCTACTTCCCAACCCCAGGGTATGTTCACCTTCACGTCTACAGCTGTTTCCCTGCCAGGGATGATCCAGGCGGTGTTGGCTTTGCTCGCTTCTTGTCTTCTTCCTTTTCAACATCTCGAACAATGTCATCTTCCTACCCTCGGCGTGGGTGTATATCCCGGGTGGACCAGGGTGTTACCATGGGGGTGTAATGAGCGGGATAGCTGGCAAATGCTGTCCTATTTGAGACTCGGGTCCGGCGAACATGGCGGTATGAGCTTCCCGAATCGGGTGTCTGCATCTGGATAGGGGGTGGCGGGTAGAGGCTTGTGAAGGCGTTCTTCATCTCGTTCAGCTGGGTACGTATGCGCGTAATGTCGTGGTCGGAGACAATCCTGGTAGAGTAGCAATCCTTAAGAATGGTTCGCATTGCCTCGGTCGCTGTCTCAAACGTTTTGAGCTGCTTTCGCTGGTAGCAGACCTGTTCGAGGCCCACGCGGATCTTGCGTGCGTCCTGCACCTCGCAGGCGCTGTAGCGGAGGCACTCGAGAGCAGCATGCTCGATTAACTTCACAAGTGACTTGATGATGTGACACAAAGCCTCGATCTCCTCCTGCATCTCTGTGAGGCTCTCGGTCAGACCAGGCAACGCCTCCAGAGTAGTGTTTGTGTCGTTGATAGCAGCGTTCGTCAATGGATCCATCAGTGTCGGTGGGTCCGAGGAGGTTGGATGGTGGGCAAACTGCAGCAGCCCGTTGAGCTGCCTGCAGGCTTCTAGAACCTGGAGGGATCCAGAATGTATTTGAGCCAGCATATCTTCCAGTTGTGTTGCCAGCTCGAAGAGGAACTTTTGCGTTCTACCATCGTACCGATGGTGAGGCTTCTCGGGTATATAGTCAACACCATATTCCCAGAGTTCGGCGTAGATGCGCTCCCGCAATCCTTTCGCTGTTCTTTCTAGAGATCTGATGCCCCGCATGATCTCATCGTCACTGAAGGGGTCCGTGCGTAGCGACTCTGGGCTGATGACGAAAAAGGCAGGACGATTGTCGTTTTCAGAGTTTGTCGGTGCCAGCAATGGTTCATAGGACTGAGAGAAGGGGATTGCCATTGTGGCGTCCACGGGACAGGCAGTGGCGGGATGAGAGGAACTCTAGCAGCAGTGCAGATTCCCACGAGCGGCAGTGAGGTGAGGCGATGAGAGGCGTTGTGGCAGTAGGGCAGAGTACCACGAGAAGCAGAGAAGAGAAGAGTAAAGAAGAGCTGTGGATGTAGTCTGGGTTACCACCAAAGCGACAAGTCTGTCTGCCGCAACCAAAAAAGGAACTCAAACAGCAACTAAGCGACAGCAAACTCATGCACAGAGAAGAAAGGTAAAGGAAAAGGGCAAGAACGGCATGAGAAATCAAAACGAAACGATCGGAAGAGTGGATGAAGAACAAAAGCAGAAAAAGAGGAAGAAGAAGAGTGAGGAAGAGATGGGTGAAGGAGAAGAAGAGGGTGCAGAGGGGAGTGAGATGTAGAAGTGGCTGTAAACAGGGGAGCGCAGGCAGGGAGGAGGGAGCGGGAGAGGGGCGCCTGAGAGCGTTTGAGAGGAAAGGACCAGGTCATGATTTGGCATGGCGCCAATTACATCAGGGAATTGGGTGGCATGATGACGTGTCGCTTGCTCTGCCTGGTATTTTACATGATTTACAGTCCATGGTAGTGGATGGTGGCATTCATTACCGTACAGTACAATAAAGTACACTATTGTGCCAGATCTACCCAGACGGGCAATCAATATCTGAGCCGGAGAAACTTGGATCCGAATCAAGTCGCCATTCGCCTTGGGTTTCTGTCAAGGGGATCTTCGTAATTGACGTTATGCGACATCGCTGTATCGTGCCTGATGGCCAAGCTGCCGGAAAACGAGCAGTAGCCCGCGGGACGCGGCAGCGTAGACTGCATGATAAGCTGAGCTGCTCGATGTAGGCCACGTTCTTGGAGTCCAGTCCAGCACGAACGATACGCACAAGTCCCACAGCTTTATGGTGAGCTTCTCGCCCTCAGGCGATCTGTCCGCCACGCAGGAAAGGAAACCATGTTCGAGCCGATTCCAAGCGACCCGTGCCTAGCCCAGCCAGCTTTCGGATGAGTACTTCGACCATCAATCTCCACGTTGGCTTGGTCCATTGGGAAATGCAGAGCCAGCATGTATATGTAGCAGTGCAGACGAGTCGAAACTTGGAAGTACGGCACAATTTGGGTTGATTGGCTTGGTTCTTTTGGTTCTTTGAGGACCTTGAAGAAAGGTGAGGCCGAGTCAACTACTCTGCGACATCTAGCTTCAACGAGCCAAATTTATCGCCTCCAGATTTTCAGATCTTTGGATTTGCAGAGCCCAGTGTGGGAATTCCATTGATACCCTCCCAGAATTCTAACCAGGCTCCGATGGCTCGAGGGCCCCGGGCTCTCGTTGACCTCTATCAACCAACCCACAGCTAATACAGTCCACCATCGCTGAGCACTGGAACAGTCAGGCTGGCTACCATCCCAGCCCTTCTCTGTCCAGATGGGAGACTGAGGTGTGCTTGATGATGAGGGGGGAGGGACTGGTCTGTGAAGAAAGACACCAGAGATCAAACTGTCGATATTCTCGTCGTCAAGGTTATAAGCCGGTCGAGCGAAATGCGCAGCAAGCGATCGGTGTTGACGAAGAAGATGACCACGTGCCCCTTCAGCTTCGGCTTCGGCTTGGGCTCTGGAGAAATATACATTGATAAATGATTTTCGGAGTCTGATGGTTGGCGTGGAGTTCTGCCGGAGCTTGTATGCTGAGCGAGATCTGTCAGAGGCAGACAAAGCAGATCTCCCTAGGTTATTACATTGTATCTGAACTGATTTCAGTCACAGCAGCGGTGTATGTATGTATATGTGGCATAGTATGGTAATGTTGGTCGCAATCAGACGTCCTGCAGCAGACGGGTACAGCTGGCTGGCTGATGCTGGACTCTTTTGCACTTGGGGCATCGACCATAGTGCTGATCTTGTTAGACAGTCTTTATTCGTCGAGTACGGCGTTTGACCATGGGGTCGTCATGCTGGGGAAAAGCCACTGAGTTCTTGTTGACAACCAGAATCCTGGACCTAGACTTTGACATTGCTTACTCCATGCTGAGATGTCCGTCGCACGTAGTTTGGATAGACAGCTACCTCGAGCAAAATCGGCTGTCGGCGTCGGTGGCTGGCTGTCCGACTCGGTCGCATCACCCGCCTGTGTAAGGATGGTCACCACAGAACTGCGCGCCCTCGCCTGCTTGATGAGGCTCTCATTCATGCGAGGGACTGGATCTGTTGACGTGTTCCCCTGTCGTGCTGGTGAAATGTCAGGGTGAGCCAGCCGGGCGCAATAGGGATGCTGGCGAACATAGTGTTATTTCGCGTGACAAGGTCGCAACAGTCTCGTCTTTGGAGACATTGACAACAACAACGACATTTTTACGACTCTGCAAGACATGAACCGGTCCAGGATCAGTTGCACAGATCATAGTCCGGATCCTTGCTCTGCTCGGTCAAAGACTCATTCCATGAAAATCAGCCATCTTGGGTCGGCTGCTCGTGCGCAAGTGACTGCCTGTGCTGGGTGGACAAGGCAGGATGGTCGACGACGCTAAAAGACATGTTGTCGAGGCTGCTGCTGCATCGCAGAGGATTCAGGATCGGATTTAGGGATCGGCGACGAGTGAATCACTTTCGTTGCAAGGGGGACACGGAGCGCCAGGGAGGTCAGCCATACTATCAGCCAAGGTGTCTGCTCAGACACTCCAATCTGGTATGTTTTTGTCGAGACCCGTCCCAGTTCCGGGTCCACGAGGACCGTGGTGATTCAAGAGGACATCCTCGAACCAAGCTGATAATAGATGTTGAGGACAGTTGATTGTCTGGATGAGACGGACTATAGGAGGCGTGGTACGGAGTACTGAAGTGTGGCGTCTCCGTAGAAGGCTCTCTGTCACATATGGGTCCCCACTGGAACAAACCACTTGTGACTGGAGTATACCGGACAGAGAATCTGAAGAGCTAAAAGACCGGGACATATCTCGCGCAGGGGCAGCGTAGTCAAGGCCGATGTATTAAATGGTCTCCATGTTCACTGAAGAAGCTCATGTAGACGTCGAGCGCTTCGTGGGGTGACATTCTGTCCAGCGCCTTTGGGTTTCGGCTGAAGATGTGGTGCGTGCCCTCGCGTCCTTCGCCGTGAGATGCACGATCTGTCCAGGTCATATTTTGGCTTGTCGGCTCAGTATATATAAGACTTCCCCCATTCCTTTTTCTTGTTTTGTAGGTCACATCGCCTCCTTGAACACCGTCCGCGAAGGACTCCTACCCCTGGACTGGACATACTGCGCTTGTAGGTTGTACCACCAACTCGACTCAGGTGCTTTCCGCCTTGCACACCGTGTGTCTATCTCTGTAAGGCGGTTTTGCGAACATGACTCTGGTTGAGGAGGGGGCCTGCTGCAGAATAGGCGCAATACCTGTTCCTCTCGCGCAGGAAACGCCGTGCCAGATCTCGAGAGTCAATTCCACCTCTAGGTCGAGGGCACAAATTTGGATGTAGGACGTGAGTCTTCAAGCTAATCCTTGTGGAGTCGGCATCCACCATGCAGAGCTGGGAACGGGGGAGCGACACATCGTTTGCGGAGCAAGTAAACCAAGCGTGTCAGCAAGTCCCTTTGCAACCGGGACGAAATCATACTTACCAATGTTAACGGTTCTCTGCAGGACCGGCTCATGCAGATGGAGAAGGACGCGATCATAGAGGCCCATCGCAAACGAAGAGCAAGGAAGAGGGCCTGTGAGCCGATTTGGTCCAGATGGTTTCTCGAGATGGTGTTGTCAATCGAATTGAAGTCGCAGGTGGTCCAGTCAGCACGGTCGCTTAGTAAGCCACCAAATTCACAACAACACTTGCGTTGATCTCCTGCTTCATCATCTCCAGATATCCGCTTCCCTGAGCATCGATTTCAGAACTCACAATCCTTCGTCTGTCTCATCTGCTCAAATGATCATCTACTTCTTGTCTCGTGAGCAGTTTCTGAAATTGGTCTGGTGCAGCCACCGCCATTTGACGGCTCCTGGGGCACTGCACTGTACGCATCATGTTGCTGCGTATCGGTCCAAGGGAACATCTTCAAACAACCCAAATCACAGCATTTTGTGTGTCGTAGCGACAGGCCCTGTCGGTAACGATTCGACCTATCAGCAGGAACTCAAGAGTCGATCCCAGTGAGAAGTGGAGGATACCCAATTGTGTCTATTCCTCTTGGTGTAGCAGTTGCGACTGATTTAAGGCAAGTTGCAGCGCTGGCTCTCTCCTCCAAGCTCGCTCAATAGTCTACAGCCACACTAATTTCAGTCATGTTCTGGAATAGAGTGTCACCCTGGTCATTGTGATTGAGGTGGGCCACAATCGAGGTGCCCCGGTCGCAACCCCAGCCAGCCTCTGATCCATTATTCCAAACCAGACACTCTTTGTTGATCCCATTGAGAACAGATACTCCTGGCACGATTGTGAGTACTTGCTCCTTCTTGCCGCGAATATCTGACACGCCATCCAGGGCAGATCAGATGGTGACCGCACGAGCGTTGGAGGCCGGCCATAAGCTTGTGTGGCCTTCCTGACATCTCCTCTGATCATCGAACCGATGTGGTAAACCAGCATGATGGAGAGCACGTTTATATCTTTCTGAGAGCCCTTTCCTGTCGACTCTAAAGCAAAAGGTCCGCTGCCAAAGATGACGCTGCCTGTCACGTCGCCCAGCGATGAAGCCTGGCAAGATATCCTCATCCAATTGGGAGAGGACGAGGCAAAGGCTGAAAACTCGATGTCCTGTATGGCGTTGTCATGGGGATACGTGCAGGGCCGATCTCACCAGCTCCCAGGACTATCGGGAGACCATTTCGAAGCGTGGTACCAATGTTTCGACCAGGCCATCGTTATTTCCACCCACTCGAGGTCTTCCCCACGACGAATAGTCCCTCCACCCAGTTCGCGCGTTTCAGATGTCCCATGGCCAAGCCAGCTAACAGTGGATTCAGGCACTTGTATTTGGGCCACGAGAAGTCATGGCCACGGCATGTCAAGTACAGGAATTTGACAGAGAGCCAATAGCACTGAGTACCTCATCCTTCGTTTAGGACAGTGAACCCTTGGTGAATATATCTGACATTTCTGTCACCCATCCCGGACACGAAATTTGACAACCGAACTACCCGAAGACGATGGGGCGATCTCATGGCCGTTGAGGGCGTCAAATACAAAGTCGACCTTATCTCATGATCGTGCTGCAGGGCCATCTGGCACATACGTATCTTCCGTCCGACCTGACAGTACCGCGTCGAAGAGAACTCCGACGGAGCCGCAACCAGGTCCCCATGAGCTGCCTGTGCGACTTCGACGGCCTTCAACAAGACCTTCGCAAGTCGAGTCTCCTTCTGATGCCCCGCCGCTTCGAGTAGCCGGGGACACCGAAGAGGCGATGACCGTCCCCAAGGCCAGTCTCATTTCCAGTTCATTCGACCGGACTGAGGAAATCTGTTTTCTCTTGATCGCTGGAACAGGAGTAGCTTTTCGCATCTTTCACAGTGGTCGTCATATTGGTTGCCATATCTTCTCCAGCTGGCACCTTGAAATCCAATAGAGCCATCCGGTCCTCACCAAGCTCGCCGCCTCCCGGGTATTGGCGCAATCTTGCCTCGGGCTGCTACCGCAGAGCCGACTCGAAGTAATATCTCTCGCATCTGGTATTGTAAACGGCGAGACTGTCTTTGCATGATGGATTGATCCAGAGCGGTGGGAATCCTCCGGCAGTGTTGTCAATCTCCCAGCACAGAGTCCTTTTATGTCGTCTGAATATCTCTCTCTCTCTCGTCTGGCACCTGATCTTCGTGCCTGACCGGATTATCCTCTTTCCTCAATCCTCATCCCAGCGCCATCAAGTGCCTGGTTAATTCCTCAGACACTCTCTTCACACAACTGCTCTGACAATCTCAACAGAGCCTCTTACCTTTCCCCCTCTGCCCCTGTGTCCCGTCCGGTGTTAGGCGAGGCACAATTGAATTTGACACCTCCCACTATTTCTCGCGCCGTCTCCCCCCTTGGATGTCTTTTCCGTGTGGTACATACATGAACAGGAGCCGTCCGACATGGCCATACGACGGATCTAGCCGAGTTAGTTCGTTTGGGAAACGTCCTCTTCCGTTGAATAAACCATGCAATTGCCGAAGACGTGGCCTATTTGCTCGAATAAGCGGTGGTACCTGGTCCCGGGAGAGAAGAGGTAGATGAACGAAGACGACGGCCTGGACAGACGACTCCTCAGGATGTCAGAAAATCAAAAATACAAGACAGAGTCGGGTCGGGAGGTATGAGTTTAAAGCTTAGGGGTCACCAAGGAATGCTGCGCAAGATCTAACACTCGAGGGAAGCACGCTTCGTCGACAAGAGAGTCGATCTCCTGAATCGCTTGGTCGTCCCGGCGGGCAGTTTACAGACGCGGCCGACGCGGCATTTGTAGCTGAGTGTAGCAGTATAAACCGTGGACTGTGGCCATCACTGCTCGCAGACGCCTTCTGGGCTCAGGTTCATCCTCCTGATTGTTGTGGCACTGGAAACGTCTGGCTTCACGGTCGCGAACATTCGATGGCCGTCTTGGGCTTGCCATGTTGAGGCGCATTCCCTCGCCGTCCTGTCCAGTCTGGTCGAGAAACATGTCTTCGAGAGGCAGATTCCGGCACGATAGATCGGATGTCGATAAAAGAGAGGGAACAGGCGCCGACACCACGCCTTCGCAGACGGAACAGTTCTCACGGGATCCCCTTTCCAATCCTTCCTCAACAGGCGTCACACAGTCGAAGTCAGCTCTCGAGGAACGCACGCCAGCAGCGTTCAAAGCCCCGCCGATTCCATGCCGTCGGCGTTGTCAATGTTCTCGACCAATTGTTCCAGGTTGTCAAAGTCGGGACTTCTGGCGTTAGTGGTGATCTCAAGGCCCCGGGGTCGATGACTGCCATGGCTCCTGGCAGCGAGTTGGCGTCGCCAGGATGAGCCAATGACGAGCGTAGTACAGTAGATCGCTGTGGCCGGGGCTCAGGCATCCTCTCTCCACCGGAGCGGCGTCAGGGGCTTTTGCCATGGAGGAGACCTCTTAGTGGAAGAATGAATCCTTTAAACTTGGGAAGCTCGGCAATATGCAGGATGGATAAACGAGAAGCTGATTGATGTGTATGCGTTTCCGTGAGTTACAATCTCCATTGTGTCGTCGTGGTCCAGCCTTTGAAACAGCCACAAGCTCCTCCCAGAGATTTACAAATGTTGGACGCGGCCAATTTCGTACACCCATGGTTGTTGTACCGAAATACGTGACCTCCGGCTGATTTAACGCTTCGTGTATCGCACAACGGCCCTCTGTCTTGGATCACTCCCTCCGTCGTCATTCTGTGCTGACTTAATTGAATTGGATGCCAAGGAGGAGGCGTCGCTTCAGAACTGGTTCAGTATAGTTGGGGAGCGTTTCTGGAACTTCTATTTGCAGTTCCCCTGGCCGAATTACAGAACTGAACGGCGTGGCTTCCCGGGGATCTTCTCCACAGACTTCATGAGCTGAGACCAGGTACGATCTGACCTGACGTGGAAGTATCAACGATAGTATCTTTCAACTCGTGTGACTGGATATTTTTTTCGAATGTTTCCTCAATCGCCGCGACATCCAGACGCCGGTCCAAGGCAGGAAGCCTCTCTAGATGACACATTCAGCTGTAACTGATTTCAATCCCCACTCTCGGGTTTCGGCTGAGCTAAGATGAGGGCAACATCATGGCCAAGCTGGTGGAGACAATTGGCCAGATCTCGCTGAGGGGCCGCATCCTGGTTGACAGGTTCTTCCACGGGAAAGCACGGGAAAAATCATCCAGGGCCATCATTCTGTTCTCGTCGTTGTATGCTGACAGCTCCGAGAATCGTCCCTAGCAAGATAGGCGATTTTGTCGTTCTCCCCCGGATGTGCATGCCTTCCCATACGTCGCTGTATCCAAAGACACACACTGGACCAGCCAACCCAACTGACCCGTGACTGGCTGACGGGGGAGATGTCTTATGTCCAAGCTCGCACAAAGGAAGAGAAGTATGGATTAGATTTGACCTGAACCTGGTCGGTATGAGCATGAATAGCTCGTGCACGGTGCATCAACAGGAGCTTTCCGCAGCGAAAAGCCCATCTTGTATGCAACAAGTGTGTGGTTGTAGAGAAGTTGAAAGCAAAATCTCTTCACGGGTATCGCGTTTGCAAGGACGCTGCTCCTTGCGCTCGTCCTTCCGTTGCCCTGGCTGAAACGGTCTCCCGGGATCTCACCAACAGACCCAGGCCAGGTCGGCTGTTGCCCCAGTCTCAACCCTCTCCCTGGGTCAGTGGAACCTGGTTACGGTTGTCACAGAAGGGGAGATGAGAGGCTGTCAATCTGTTCTGGCCAGCTCCTCGAGACCGTCGTCGAGTAGGTTGTTGAAAGTCTGGCTCAGACTCAGACAAAGGCTCGGCATCGGAATCGTCACCCAACTGATTGTCGCGGCCTTCGGGCAAGTTAGACAACATAAGGGCATGCCAATCAAATCAACGCACGCGGTGGACGCAGGAGCGTTGTTGTCCTTCGCAGGGAAGGAATCGTTGGAGAGCGAGATCTTGTTCGTGAACGTGTCCCAACGACCTCGACAGTTTATCCTTTCCGCGCACAGGTTCAACGTCCATGGGTTCGGAGAAGAAGCAATGTATCCGCTCAAAGTGTACAGCACCGTTCGTTTACGGTGCCCCACACGCCCAATGCCTTGCACGATTGAAGCCACAGGCTGCACCGTATCGGTCTCCTCTTGTCGGTCTTCTGGCCCAGGGCGGTTCGGTTCCGGCCGAGGACCGCAGGGAGGCCACTCTGATTTACACTCAAGTATGATCTCAGTGGCGCAGCGGCGTTCAGAGCATCATCGGACTGGCTGGTGTCCCGACGAGATTATTACCAAGGCAATTGTTCATAGGTTTCTTCGTTGCCCGGCACGCCAGGATCCCTGCCTGCTTACCACTCGAGGCCAAGCGTGCTTCGAGGCTGGGCCGCGGGCCAGGATAGGAGCTCAGAATGACAGTGCCAGGGGTGACCCTCGCAGGAGGACAATGTTGCATTGCATTGCATTGCTAGTTGATTCGATCCTGATCGGATTGATGCGGTGGAGACAAGTGCATCTTGAGGACAGTCCACGGCCTCGGCTGGAATGCAGATCCTGACACACATTGGAGCCAGAAATTCTGTGGTACAGGAGGCTTCAAAAAGTAACCGACCACCTTAGTCTTGGCAACCACCAGAATCCTACACCACCATCCCTAATGTATTGATTTCTCACTCAATTCGTACGATAAATAATTATCCTGTAGCTCATTTAATAGCCCAGATGTCGTACTATGTAAATATCAGGTCTTCTAGATCAAAATCGCGTATACCAGCCTTTGGCCTCAATAACAGCGTTGACCCTCTTGTCCATACTCTTCACGGCATTCTTGATCTTTTTCCTATCGATACTAGCCCAGGCCTTTGTAATGACCTTTGCAAATCGATCGAGTACCTCTTGAGAGTCTCCGTTAGTGTGTTGAAGCTCTGGATCGATCGCGTTGACGAGACATTTGAGCTCAAACCAGAGATTCTCGATGGGGTTCAAATCTGGCGAATATGGTGGCCATTCCATGACATCTATTCCATGATTATCGAGCCACTCCCTGACCTTTTTAGCCTTGTGAATAGGTGCGTTATGCTGCAAGGATGACGAGTTGTTGGGTTCGGGCAGTTTGTCGGTAATCGCCATCATGCTGTGACGGCCCTCGATGTCAACAGCTCCGTTGTCCTGCACGGGAACCCGGGGACGTCTGCTGAGCTGGCTTGAGTTGGGCAAGATAGACGTCAGGAGGTCATGAAAGGCGAGGCGTGCGTCGTGGACTTCTTCGCGGGCGACATCCCGGTCGACAACGACATGCTCTGGACCAAGCTGTGCGCACGGAGGAGGTCAAGGGCGCTGTCGCGCTTGCTCTGGACCTACATGCGTCCGCTGAGAATACAGCCCGGCTCCACGACGTGTTGGCAACGAGGTCGACGTCATCGACCGCGGCTCCTCCCAATTGTCGTTCTCGTCGCTTTAGACTCTCGCAGGGCTTCGACCGTTCTGGACGTTCTGGTCGCTCTCTAGTCTTGACACAACCTCAGTGTGCGTCGTCGCCAAACCCTTCAGGTCGCATGGTGTTGGTTTCCGCCGCGGCAGTGCTAGCAACAAGCTAATTGCCATGGTCTCTCACGGACGTGATTGACTCCTCGGGCTGCTTGTATGTTGGAGGATGGTCGGTTACTTCCGCTACCTCTGCCACGATCCTGTTGGCTTGAAGACATTCTGATTGTGCTGAATCTGTGTGGGTTGTTCGGGTACCATCTGAACGGTATGGTGCCTGTGGTTGTTGTGAACCCACGGCAGACCATATGTTGGAGGATGGTCGAACCCACGGCCGGGCCAGGACTCCTGGGGCTGCTTGTATGTTGGAGGATGTTGGAACCTCCGGCAACCCTCCTCGCCCTCCCTGTCCAACGGGCTATTGGAAGCGTTGGATGAGAATAGCACACCTCGGTGCAGCCTGTTGTTCCGCTGACGAGCGCCCGGCTGCCATGCAACGTAGGTGAAAAAGGAGGAATCCCCATGCATGGATGTCTGGTAGGAGCCTTCCGTGTGTTGTTAACATTGTGGGACACGGGTATGAAGAGCTGCTCTCTCAGCGGTGTTCCGTGTTCTTTATATATATGTATGGAGGCGGGATTTGCCACGCGTTGCGACCTTTCGCCACCTTGTTTTGCAGTTTGTGGTGGATTTAGTCTCCGAGTTTGAAAAATGGGTCGGCTCCATTAATACTTTTGGTAATGTTTGGTGGAGCCACTGTGTCGTCGTGGACTATCCTGGTCTTCCGATGTGCTCGCAGCATACCGTCCGTACAGTGCCACCGTCGTGGCGATGTCTTTTGACCCACTAGTGTTCTGGGACAGGCCCATGTTCCAGTGGTATGTTTGTGGGGTGCGAGACCTCTTCAACTTCTGGGCTTCCCTCTCTTCCGTATGTCCCCAGAAGCTGGCTGTCTTCTCATGATGATGGTCTGTCTGTCGGCACCAATGATCGACAAAGTGATCAACTGTGCACTAGGGAAAGGGGACAAGGGGATGCTAGATGGCAGGCAGGGAGATAGCCCACCGCCACTGGTGGGCCGAACGAAGGAGATGATTTGGCTTGCCACCTGACCCGCCATGTTATTTGATTTTTTTTTTCTTTCTCTTCCGCATGTTCAGGCAGAACTTGAGATGAGATGTGGATCTGGACGTGGAGACACAAAAGTGGCACCCAACAAGAGGCAGACAGGGCCAAATATATAGAAGAAAGAAACCCCAAACGCACTGTGTCACGACTCCGCGGCAACCGGGTCAAGGCGCAGGCGTTTATTGCGGTCAACAATATTATTGTTGTGGTGACAAAACAAACCAGTGGCGTGCCAGTAGCTCCACCACGGTGAATTGACGGGTGCCATGGGTGAGTGACTGCTGCCTGGAGGTTGGAGTACAGTAATGTCTGGGGGGTGCAGAATTGGGGCCCTGGACGCCCCGTAATCTCCGTCACGCCGCCCAGTGATAGGCAGCTGCTGCCTGGAGCGACCCACGGGACTTGGCAGTGGAATTTCTCGGCTTTGAATTTGTTGATGTCTTGTTTTGCTGGACTATCGAGTCCTTTTCAGGGTCAGACTTGTCAGCGGCGGTAATTATCATACAGTATAAGAAACGTACATATATAATTTGCTGCTGCGCACAGAAATCCCCAGTCAACTCTTCCAGCCAGACAAGTGCTTCATACTGCACCTCCCCCAGCAACTCTCTGAGAAAGTCCTTGGTCCTGCAATCTATCAATCCATTGCTTTGTTGAGGCTTCATCACATCAACGAGATCTACGACGACCATATTCATACCTGCAGAGTCAGGGGAATCTACTTCCTGAGCCTCTGAACCGTGTCTATGGTGTGTATGCCCTGTCCAAAGCTTTTGTCTTGCAACCTCCTCGGTGCTGCTTGCGCCAGAGTGCTAGTGCTGATCAGCTGCTTGGCCGCTACCCTCGCAGGATGCGCAATACGATGTAACGCTCTCTGAAGCCCATAGGTCACTCCTCACATCCCCTTATCGACTGCCTTTGGCGGCGATTCATTGCGACTCTAGGACACTCCCCTGGCGCTGGAATTTCCCCCCTTGCAGAATTCAAAGAACGTTCGCGCGATGCCTTCTCCGGCAGCTGGAGCCGCACATCCAAGTCGGCTTTTCCCTCGTCATTCTGGGACGGCACTGTCAAGATATGGAGTCTGGAACGGCAGCAGAGCCTATTGACACCATGTGGTGCCTCGGCTCGGGAGTTGGGCAGGGCAAGACCGGCGTTAGATGAGGTGGATGCATCACCTGGGATCAAAGCATTGTTCGGTGAAGACGTGTCACAGCGGCAAAGTTGAAAGGCTGATCTGATCGTGACTCTCTATCCTAAATTGTGCTCTGAATACCACCAAGTCTTTCTCCTTGGCCCATGTTGATTCGTGTCGTGTGTCAACATTGTCTTGTCTTGTCTCGTCGATATGCGTATCTGGTCTGCCCAGACTCATCGTTTCTGCTTTCTGCTTGAGACGTGGACTCCCAAGATTGGCGTGCTCGTTTGTTTTTGCAAACAGCACTGTTTCGACAGCGACGAAGTCGTGCCATGATCGTCCGAACCTGGGTCGACACGATAACCCTTCTGTTGATAAGCTGTGGCGTGATCGCTGCTCTCAGAGTAGTAAATGTGTTAAAAGCATTACTGAGAGAGGGGAGGGGGTGGAAGGATCAAAGCTCAATCCATCACCATATGCAGACCAACACCTACTTCCGTGATGTCGAGTCCGTCAATGTCTGAGTAGAATCGTGGACCTTTTTAGCAGTCCGGCCATTCGTTCCCCAGCAGACATCGGGTCATATCACAGCACATCAATAAGCCCTCCACATCGCACACGGTTTCGTCCCCGATCTCACATCCGTTTGCGGTGATTCCAGAAATCGTCACTCCTCCCAGAGAGCCACACATGATCCATGCATCGCCGTCTTGTCAGGAACATTGAAAGCGAAGGTTGAGACGGGCTGCATCTAGCCTCCGGCGACCGAACTTTACAGCATCATGATGAAATGTCGGGTCAAGCCCTTGGCTGACCTGATCAAAGATTATTGATATCCCGAGACGGACAGTCCGACATCTCGTCTCAAGCTTGCGTGCGGTGCTGGACGGACACCATCAATCACTTCATCGTTTTATGCTTATGCTCGGTACTTGTTGGATGCTGCGAACAGCTTGGTCTCAAGGCTGATGCATTATGGTATCGACATCGGTTTTTTGGCTGGCCTCCGTCAAACTCGACTGCCAATGCCACAAGCCTGTTAGAGGACAAATCGGGTATTGAGCTCAGCGAGTTATTCGATTTCGGGGCCATGAGGTAGCAGGGATTACTCCCAGGCCAAGACGACGCGTGGTGTGCCGTAAAACCAACCGTGAAATCGTAGCCACTCACTCGAAACGTCCGACGAAGCCTCCAACCCAGCAGCACAAAGGCTGAGGAGGTCGAGAATGACGACCTCCACGACGGCGAGCCGGAAGAGGGCCTCTCTAGGCTGTCTCAGCCTCATGGCCCTGTATCGGCTGTAATTCGGGACCGGATCTGGGCTGGATGTAGAATTTCTTATTGCTTGCTTGTCGAACGTCACACTCCGATGAGGTGAGACAGTATAATCCTTAACAAAAGAGTTACCATGCACCTGTGGGCTGGTTACCTTACCTCCTGGCTCTTGATGGTTCTGTGAGAGAAAGAGGCAGAGACAACAAAGATGGGTCTCACAGCGACAACTAAAGCCGGATCTCTTGAAGATGCACCACCAAGAACTCCTCGTATTTGCTTGGAGGGATTGGCGGGGTGCGTAGGGCTTCAATGGTCGACGGCAATCACTTTGGGTGCATTGGGAGCTTCTTCATGGTCGTGGGGACTTTGGAGAATGTGAAAGACATTGTGCTATGCGTCTACTTCGTCCATATTCCTCAAGTGTCTCTCTACCACTGTCCTCACTGTACCGCCAGCCCTTCTCGAGCGCTTCTTGCTTTTGTCTGCACTGGTATTGTTCCAGATTGTCTTGCGCACCGTCCTGTATCCCTGGCGGCCTTCCGCCAGCGCCCCGAGACCAGTATTGCCCTCATGCAAACTGTCAAAGATGTACCAGAAACCACCGCGCTCTTCCTCTGGCTCACTGCCCACGATACCGAGCATAAAGATAGGATGCTGTGTTGCCTAGGCAGAAGGGCCTGTCGAGAAGGATGCTGATGGGCGAGGCTGCATAGGAGTAGAGAAGGACAAGGTAAGGATAGAAGTCGTATTCAGGATGAGGAGGCGGGGCTGTCGGAGGAGTAGCGGCGACAAAGCTTTGATGTGGGAAAGAAAGAGGCGGCGAGTACTACTCGTCATCGGCTGACAGCTCGTCTAAAGTACGTCAACGTCAGCACAGATTCGGTGATGAATTTCAGGGGAGACAGACATAAGGGAACGCTTTCTCGTTCTGATGAAGTGGTTGAACATTGTGCACAATGAGCGGGGATTCTCCTCTTTTTGACCCGTTCTCTGTGTTCTTGTGCCCGCCTCATCTCCAGTGTAAGCATCCGCACTTCCATCGGAAGGTCGGGGGCAATCTCCAACAGGTAGCGATGTATCATCAAGAGAATTACAATAATCGTGA